GGAAAGCGCCGGCAGCGCCAACAAGGGCAGCTTCAAGCTTCGCCTCAACATCCCCAAGCCCAGGAAGGACAAGGACAAGGCGCAGAAGCAGAAGGCCAACAGCGCACTCCCAGGTAGAGCGGGGACGTGTTGGGGGGCAGGCACAGCCCACACAGGAGGGACCCCCACACACTGACACTGGCCTCCTGTCCTGGGCATGCTGGGGAGAGACCCTCTGGGAGGGGGACAGGGCCTGTCCTGGCTGGGGATGTCACCTTTGTCACCAACAGCCCCTTAGAGCTTAGTTTTCCTGCTAACGGACATGGGAGCCCCTGGTCCTGTACCTCCACCACCTCTGCAAGGGGGCGAAGGGGCTGTGGCACAGCTCGGCCCTGTGGTAAGTCCCTGCCCCAGGGCTGGGGGTCCTGGCAAGGGGAGAAGCTCAGATGCTCTGTAAGTAAGTGAAGAAGAGGAGAAATCTCTGCACCTCGAGCCCGCTGTGGGCTCCGGCCCTGCCCGTGCTGGGGTGGGGTAGGGTAGGGTGGGGGGACGCCCGCTGCCGCCTGCCCCCGCTGCTGCTGCCTGGGGCCCAGGCCACCGCTGTGGTTTTCCTCCCTGCCAGCTGACAAGTGGGGCTCCGAGGAGGTGGCAGCTTGGCTGGAAGTGCTTGGTTTAGGGGAGTACAGAGACATTTTTGTCCGGCATGACATCCAGGGCTCTGAGTTGATCCTGCTGGAGAGGAGAGACCTGAAGGTACAGCCCCCCTCGTGCCCGGGGGAGCACGGTTCCTCCATCCCTCCTCTCCCCATCGCTCGCTTCGCTTGTGCAGGGGGGTGGCAGCAGGGGAGGGGGCTCATGAGGCTCTGCATGCTGCCCAAACAGGATCAACAGCACCATGCCCGCTCCTGCACCCAGGCATGGGGATGTGCTTGCGAGGACACGGCTCCTAGCAAGGACCATGCTCTGACAGAGCACAGGGGTCTGCGCAGCCCCCTCCTCTGCCCCACACCTCACCTGGTCCCCTATGAGGGCATCAGCTCCCCTCTTTCTGCAGGACCTGGGGATCACCAAAGTTGGGCACATGAAGAGGATCCTCCAGGCCATTAAGGAGCTCAGCAACCCACCCTAGGCCAAGGCCTCGGGCCCAGGGACTGGGCAGGGGGCTTCAGGTCCCTGCCCTGCCCCATGTGTGGAGACCCCTGCTTGCCTCGCTTCGTCTGTTTGTCCCCCCGTGTCCCCAGAGCCGCTGCTTCTCCCCAAGCCCATGGGGCTGGAAACACTAACACAGAGGTGGCATCGCCCCATACAGCCCCAGGCAGGGTCACTACAGGAGCTGGGGCAGCCGTGTATGTGCCCAAGCTGGGGCTAAAGCAAGACCCCTCATTCCCCCCTTGGTATTTAAGCTGTGTAAATATTTGGAGAAAAGAGACTCAGTGCTGCTCTGTGTGCAGTGTTATTACTTGGGATGAGGGGAGGACCCCTTCTAGGCTTCACTCTGCAGCCTCCTGCTCCCCATCACACCCCAGCTCTCAGCACCCATGGTGCTCAGTGGCTCAGCATCATCAGCACCCCCATCCCCAGCAGCCACCACCACCTACAACAAACAACATTTTATTGACAACTTCACATGACTTCTTTTTTCCCCCCCAACCCTCCCTCCCCTTTACTTAAAACTGCTGTTATTTATGTACACGGTGCTCCCCCGGCAGACAGCACCCTGCTATTTACAGGCTATTTACAGAGTCAGGGCTAGCAGCTTTTCAGCATCTTCTCCAGCTCGAGCATGTCCATGGGGGTGACTTTGGCAACCTCAAAGAAGACCCTGGAAGGACCCACAGTGGTTTAGAGCTGGGCTGCAGCCCTGACCCATACCACCAGTTCCCCACAGCACCCAAGGGTGGATTTTGGGGGTGCTGCCCTCCATGGCACCCCATGATGCTCACCTGTGTGAGTACTTGGTGCGTACAGCCTTCAGCTTGTCACGGGGCTGGTAGGTGAGCAGGAAATTCAGCCTCTTCACCAGGGGGTGCAGGTCCTGGGAGCAGTACCCGCTGTAGTGCTCCAGCGTGGGGGTCTGCAAGAGACAGCAGGGCTCAGCTAGGACCTTGGTGATGGTGCAGCCACCTCCTTCGCTCTCCAGCCCCAGAGCATCACCCGCACACATGGGTCCATCCACTGCACCCCCTGCAGAGTGTCTGGGGGACACAGGAGTTTGGGCAGGCGCTTACCCAGCCGCCCAGGTTCTTCATGGTGAGTGCCAGCAGCAGGCAGCTGGCAGCCAGCTTGGAGGGGCTCTCGCGGGCATAGTCGTACTCCTGCAGGGTCATCTCGCAGAGGAAGCGCGCCAGTGTCAGTGTCTCCATGGAGGCACGAGCGCACTGCAAAGGGGTGGGCAGAGAAAGGCTCAGCCCTTTGAGCAGTTACTGCTGCCCCCCGCCCAGCCTTTTTGGGCTCTGAAGTGACCCCTGGGGCACAGATCCTGCACGCCAGCATCCTCACTCCCTGCCCTGGTGAGGGGCCTGGCCAAACCTTGCTGCTCAGCCCTGGTGATGCACAAGGGGTGCCTGGGGTCACCATGACAGCAGCCCACCCCACTGCTGCCCTCACCTTGGCAAAGCGCCGCAGGAACCGGTACGGGATGGGGATGTTGATGTCAAACTTGAGGGTGCTGAGGATGCTTATCTCCATGGCGATCAGCTCTTCCCGCTTGTAGGCGTCATCGCAGATGTAGAGGAAGTCATCCACGCATGGCGGGCACCGCTCCTGCTGGGACACAACTGCTCAGTACCCCAACGGGGACCATCCTGGCACCTTCAGGAAACCCTGCCAGGCTGCAGGCCCTGCCAGACCCCAAAAGGGCGTCACAACTCCCCATGGGGCCTGTGTGGTGCTACGCTTCCCCAGCACTTGGCTCTAACTCTGAGCCTTGCCTGCATGAGGCGAGGTCAGTGTCCTGGTGGTCTCTGCAGGGCAGAGGAGCCTCCAGTGACACCAGGAGACAGGGTTCAGCCCATGGGGACTGCATTCACAGCCTTTAGGGTAGGGAGGGGGAACACGAGGTAGTGCTAGGACCCAGCCTTCCCCAGTAACCTATGGGGACAGGGGCACAGACCCCTCTGCCCCAGCACCCCAAGACAGCACGCAAGGAATCACCTCAAATTTGGAGGCAATGAGGATGGCGGTAGAGCCGATGAGCTGCAGCTTGTCCCTCATGCACACCACCTCCACCAGGTAGTGGTCCACCAACTTCACGGCCAGGTACAGTGTTTCGTGGTTCAGCTCAAAGTTCTCCTGCAAGGACATGGTGGGGGTGTCAGGCAGAAGCCCCTCGCAGGGGCCAGGCCCAGAGGAAGGGGTGCAGGCTCACCCCAGCCTGGGGACACTCGCAGGAACCTCTGTCACCACACTGGGGGCTGCACGAGGCTGTGCCCCCTCCCTATGCCCATGTACCTGCACCTCCACCATCCAGTCCACCAGGATGGCACGCATGTCCCCGCTGATGTCTGGCTGCTTCTCCATGTAGTCAGGGAGCACAAATTTCTCCTGCCAAGGTAGCAGCTGTCAGGGACTCACCAGGCACCACCACCCTCAAACAAGCCCCCTCCTGCTCCACACAGGCCCCGCCTGTCTCTGGCAAGAGCCGAGACCCCCGGCCAGGCAACACCCACCTCTCTGCCCCGCATGTACTCAAAGATCTCCTTGGCGTATTCTGCATTGGCATAGGGGTCCCCCAGCTGCTCCTTGTCGATGTCCTCCACCGCTGGCACCTGGTGGGATGGAGGAGGCAGTGGGGAGGGGGAGGCCCCAAGCTCTGCAGCTGCTGCACCCCCTTCCCCATCTTCCCCCATCTCCCTGCAGCCCCAATACCACTCTTCCCACAAGGGAAGGTGTGGGAGCTCCCTTCACTCCCCATCACACTGGCCTGAGTATCTCTGAGGCCCAAAGCACTGCCTGGTGCCCCAGTATCACCAGTGGCAGCCATAAAGCAGCACCTCAGCAGGAGATGGGGGCTAGGCCGCAGCCTAGAGCCCCTACCTTCTCCTGGGAGGGCTTTGGTACCTGTGCAGGCACCGGCTCCTCTGGCACGGGATCCTCCTTGGGCTCTGCAGGAACCTCTGCCGGAGCCTCTGCCGGGGGAGTTTTCTTCATTGACCTGGGCAGGACAAGAATGGAAACCATTGCTGGGAGGGGGCCACATCTCCTGGCTGAAAGGGGTTTCCAGAGACCTTTGCTGCTTCAGGAAGGGGATAAACCACCCCTGAAATATCCTGGTAGACTTCAAATAATTTAGGTTGGAGAAGACCTTTCAGATCATCAAGTCCAACCATTAACAGAGCACTGCCAAGTCCACCGCTAAACCACATCCTCAAACACCACATCTAAACAGCTTTTAAACCCCTCCAGGGATGGTGGCTCCAGCATTTCTGTGGGCAGCCCCTTCCAGTGCTTGACAACACCTTCAGGGAATAAAAGTTGTTCCCAATACCCAATCTAAACCTCTCCTGGCGCAACGTGAAGCTGTTTTATCTACTGCCTGTCCTACCGCCCTGTCTCACGGTCTCCATTGCTCAAAGAAAGCCTCCACCACTGCTTGTGCTTCTCCACAGGAGAGATTTGTAGGTGCCGGCCCTGCAGCATCCCCTCCAACACAGTCCCTGTCCTCATCTTCCCTGGCTACCCACTTTTTCAGGTTGATCTCGTTGTTCTTGGCCACTCCCAGAGCACCATGGTTCCTCTGTGCCTTGTGCGGTGCCACTTTCACAGCCTCCTTCTTCCCTGCCACCACCTGGTTCTTGTGAGCCTGTTTGGGTGAGAAGGGGGTGTACAAAGGGGTGCCCTGCAGGGAGACCGTTCCTGCTGCTAGCAGAGCGGGGACACCCCACTCTGTGTGCCGGAAGGGGTACACAGCCCCACTCCCATGGGGGGCTTACAGGGAGCACCAAAGCCCCCATGCCTGCAGAAGCACTCACATTGGTGATGTCCCCGAATGCCGACCTCTTCTTGGGCCCACCTTGGGGCGAGGATGGGGACCTCTTGGCCTGAGAGTTTTCCTCCTGCAATACACAATGTTAGAAGATGGGGCCCAGCTGCCCCACAGAAGCCCCCACACCCCTTGCCCGGCTCAGAACTCACCTTCTCAGGGTTGGCATTCTCCACAGAAGGGCACACCTTGCCCGCTCGGGGCTGCTTGGTGCTCACCATCTTGGTGTTGCGTGGCAATGGCATCTTCTCCCTCGGCCTCTGTGAACAAGCTGGGAGCAGAACAAGGCATGAAGCAGGCAGCTGCCAGCCCACAGGGACCCCTCAGGAACTGAGGCAGAGCCAGAGGGCACAGATCCCTCCCGGTGGGGGGATAGAACAGGGACAGGCCCCAGCCCATCCCTGAGCATGGCAGGCAGGCGGTGCCCTGAGGCAGCGCTAGGGAGGATGCAGGCCTGGCTGCGGGTGTGGGGAAGGGCTGGTGCGCTCCTCCATGGGGACATGGAGCCCCACGACCCCCACCTAAATCACCCTGCTGGGAACTGGGGCGTGCGGGTAGTTCCCAGCACCACACAGAAGGACGTGAGAGCTCCCACTCCATTACCCAGTCCAGCACCAGGGAAGAAGTGGGCTCAGGGGCACCTCCGCACCCCAGGGGAGTGGAA